TTTGTTGAATTAGTTCCAGGTTTTTTGTTTGTTTTCTTTTTTCGTCAATCTGAACTGTTCATTTTGTCCTTTTTGGTATAATCAACTCAAAATTTCATGCAGCATTTTCATGAGTATGATCTACTTTCTGACTAATTATGCCAAAGTGTCTTTTACTCTTCTCCCAAATTAATAATGATAGGATGGGAGGAAATGGCCTCAAGTTGAGCCAGGGGAGGTTTTGATTGGATATTAGGAAGAATTTCTTCACTGAGAGAGGGGTTGGGCACTGGAAGTGGCTGCCCAGGGAGGTGGTGGAGTCATCAGCCCTGGAAGGGTTCAAAATACGAGTGGATGTGGCACTTGAGGCTATGGTCCAGTGGTTAGGGAAATGCTGGGATGGAGATTGCACTTAATGATCCTAGAGGTCCTTTCCAGCCACAGTGATTCTATGATTCTGTAACGTGGCTCTGCATGCTGCTGCCCTGGCCAAATCCCCTGCACACAGACACAGAGCTGTTCACCTGCCCATCGGCCACCCACCCTGCTCTTCTAACTGCTGTCCTGGCTGGAAATGGCAGGAGCAGCAGGTGACCACATCCAGCTTGTTTCCAGAGGACTTGCCCTTCCTCTCCCCTTCCACACTTTGTGCTGGTGGGGCTGCTCCCTTGGGCAAACCCTTTGTGCTGCACCTCTGGGGTCTGCTCCCTTGGGCAAACCCTTTGATCCCCACACACCACACTGGGCCCTTCGTTGAACGTGGATACCTCCTCTGGTAACTTTTTTTCCTCACTCTGAGCTTTCTCTACTCTCTTTCCCCACATTTCTTCATTTGCAGCCCAACCCCTAGTACCTCACACCACACCCACACACAGACCCATCCCGAGCTGCCCTCGGAAGCTGCACGGGACCAATCCTGCTCCATGCATCCCCAGCCCCCATGCCACTGCTGCCCCTCTGCCCAATTCTGCCTTTTTCCTTGATGGCAATTATTTACAGTGCCTGTAAACCACCAGGATTTTTATAACCTCTGCTGCTTCCCCCGGCGCTAGGAGAGAACAAGACATATGCTTCCTGACATTTTAATGCCAAACTGACAGCCTTGGGGATATTTTTGTATCACCTACTGAGCTGTTATTTTTTAATCACGAGGGAGAACCAAATAAATAAAAGATGAGGCTTGGATAGCTCCAACACCTTCAAGATAGAGGTCAGCTTCCTCACCATCAGGATCATCCCCTCGTCCCTTGGCAGTGCTTGGAGGGGTCCTCCCACAGGGCCACCAGCCCTGAGCTTGCTCCTCCAGGTGAACCTTTTTCACAACCAGGCTTCCCAACCACCAGCTACAAAAGGGGCACCACTCCTTACTTCATCACGTAACACATCTGCTGTGGCAAGCTACCAGACCTCAGCTCTTGCCTCTGCCATCTATGTCTGCAGAGCAGAGCTCCTGGGGCTTTTTTCTTCCCCATTAGACCCAATGGTTGGGGTTGTGCAGCAGCATGAACCAAGGAGCAGGTTCAATCCTGAAGGATTAGCCTGTCCAGATCTTTAGCCTTAACCTCAGACCTCCTCCAGCACGTCTGGTGCACACTCCTGCCTGCAAACCCTCAGCGGGGATGGGCTGAGGTCAACTGCTGGTCAGGGAGGAGGGGGTTGGGGAGAAAGAAGGTATTAGCTGTTTTCAGATAAGATGATTAGATCTAAACGAAATCATTAAGCTGAAGCAGCAGGAGCCCACTGGGAGGCTGGTGGAGGAGGTGGCGTGACAAATAAATTAGCAGCTGGTGACTGCAGAGGAGACACTGGCTCAAAACGCGACTGACACAAAGGTTGGGGACCTGATCCCCACAGATGGCTCACACAGCTGAGGAGCACTCGTTTCTGAACGTCCCTCTGCTTATTAAAACTCTGCTCTAGCCAGATGAGATGAAATAAAAGAAATAAAAAGAATAAAACTGTAACTTGCAACCATCCCCATGTCAGGTAACGGATGTGTGATGGCAGGAAATACCTAGTGTTCTCAAGGGGCCTTTTCCCTGCAGACCACAGAGCTCTTCCCATGCAGGCCAGCTTATAAATATACTTTAAAAATAGGAACCTGGGACATGTGACAGCAAAGCCACCCAAAAGACACCCCAGAGAACGCAGCCCCTATCCCAGAGCTCCAGCACCTGAGGCGATGGACAGAAACACAAAAATGCCACCGAGGCTTCAAGGGACATAGAAGGTCCTCAATGCTAGGTGTTATCCTCCTGCTAGCAAGGCAGAGTTGGGAACCAGAAGAAGAGGCCAGGATCTCCATGCCTGGGGTGAAGGTGTAACAGAGGCTAAACCACTCTAACCACTAAAGCAGAAGAGGGAAACTGGGAGCCCTCGGGTTTGGCTGCAGCTCTCCCTCCTTGACCTACCCGACGATCGGAAGGTCCAGTACTCATCATCATCAAAATGAGTGTCTCCTGCCGTGTGGTGGTCTCCAGGGAAAAAGGCATGTGCCACTGTGCCCCCGGGCCCGTCGAAGGGATAGCCGTCGTTGTGGTCTGCCTTGGAGAAGTCTATCTGGATGTCGGCGTTGTTCCCCGCCACTTCGTGGAAGTTCAGGGGGGTGATGTCACTCCAGACCTTCAGGGCATAGTACATCAGGGCTCGGACGGTGTCGTGGCCCAGCTGGGACTCCTTTGGGAAGGTGCGAACTCTGGAACAGGGCAGAAAAGAGGATGGGTCAGCAGCGTGAATGATCTTCTCTGAGGAGCACCAGGAAGGGGCCTGCAGGTGCCTGTGATGTTACACAGCCTTGGTGAGGCCTCCAGAGCTCTTAGCACTCCCCCAAAGCATCCCAACACCCTTTAAAAACAGGTCTTTAAGTCTTGGGATCACCTTGGATGACGAGCTATGAGGATTTCAGATGCTGATTTTGGGTCTGCTGGAAATGCCAAGCCAGTCTTGCCTACTAGAGCGTGAAACATCCCATGTGTGAAACACAAGCAGGATTGGAGCCCTGTTATCTCCCAGTCCTGCTGTACCAGGTGGCAGTGAGCCTCAGAGCCGCTCTTCATGCTCTGCTGCCCTTGCCCAGCCTCGGAAACACCAACACCACATTGGGGTTTCTTTGTCCCTTTCCAGAGCTTGCCCACTGTTTCTTTTCAGGCTCCCTTTCAGACCTACTGACAGCTATTTTCTCCCCACTTACTCGTTCCAAGTGCAACCCAAATATGCAAAGATTATTGACTTCTGAAGCCTTTGCACCACACATAGGCCCATCACTCTTCCTGCCACAAACAGTGGGATAATAATTCTTATTACACACGCAGAGAAATCCAGTATGGATTTGCTGCCTCCATATATTTCCCAGCCTGTCTGCTGGAGGTATAAAATATACAATGAAGCCAGTACACTGCCAGCAGTCTCTGAGGCTGCAATCCATAACGAGGAGGAAGAGGGAAGGATGCATTTCATGTAAATCACATTCCAAATGCCTCCAGCCTGTTGCCTGCAGGAGCCGGGTTATCTGGTGGAGCACTGTAGTTGAGAAGCTCTTTTCTTGCTTCTTGGCAGAAGCAGCATCCATGAGCAGGGGCTTCTGACACTGCTGCACCCACCACAGGGCTCTTCTAGCTGCTGCAGCAGCGTGGTGCCCAGTGGTGCCCAGCTCTGCCTTGCCCTGGCAGAGAAGGCAGGTGGGACAAGCCATGTGCTGGCATTTGCCCTGCAGCTGCACAGTTCAAACCACCCTTTTGCTCCGAGCTGGCATGAAAAAAGTCAATGTTTCCTGTATAACCAAACCTTGAGAAACAATCCCTAATATTGCTGATTTAATAGAGGAGGTGAAAAGGCAAAGATGCAACAAGGCACCTTGGTTTCTACAAGAGTATGTTTAGATAATCTTTCATTGACAATTTTGGCAAAAATAAACACACTCCAGGAAAATGCACTGTTGACTGAGTAATTATTGACAAAAACCAATCCTGCTGGAAAATTTCTGGCCAGCTCTACCCTGGTAATAACAGAGTTTATTTCTTGTGTACCAGCACACCAACCAAAGCGTTCATGAAATATTAAGGGCTTGACAGAGTTTTTGAAGCCACAATTATGATCACCTCACTTGTCTTCCTGCATAATACAGCTGAGAGAGCATTACTCAGTATTACACCACTCCACCAATGTGGAGGAATGACCCAGCTAAACCTCTGGACACTATTACAGGTGCCAGAAAGGGACCTCAGGCCACTCAAGCTCTTCCTATGAGTAGTGATTTGGGTACTGGGAGTCACCATAAAGCAGAGATGGGGGTAGAAACTACCTGCTAACTGAGGTTGGGTGCTCTTGCTTTCACAAATGTCTGCATGAATCCCATACCTTCAGAGACGTGCAGCCCAAGGTGGGTACTACCTCCTGACCTGGACAAAGCTACTGAGGGTTAAATCCAGGACACAACAAAAAAGCACTCATGAGAACAAGCACAAATCTCAGTTTATCTGGAGAGCTTGGGAACCCCGTCCTGAAGATGGTGGGAGAAAGATGAGTGTATGAGGCAAAACAAATCATAGTCAGATTAGCAAAAATTACTCGTACCTACTCCTTTGCTATCCCTAAACTATTCTAGGCAAAGAGAACCCTTAACTACTAAACTAAATGGGTTAGCATCCAGGTAGCATCAGACAATCACAGGACTTCAAACAAAATGCATTTGTAAAGAAGACAGCATGGAGGTACAAAGAGCAGCAGTATAGGATTAGAAAAGACCATTTTCAAGTGATTTTTAATTTCTAGAAGAGACTGTGGCTGGCTGTAAACCTCTGCACTACAAAAGTAGGCCACGTGATTTCAAGATATTCTTTAACTAGGTGCCTTCATCTTCCACAACACTCCTCTTAGGTAAACCCTTTGCTGCTTTAATCTTCACTGACTAAGTCTACTCCAGGAATTATGACCTACCTTGAAAATCTCAGTGCCTAGGGCATGGACTCAGATTCAGGGACATAACCACCTCTTCCCTGCTCAAGCCCTGCTTGACCATGTGAGCTGCTTTTCTTTTCTTTCCCTCCATACCCAATTGTAGAGTGAGGGCAATAAATCTGCTTTCTCTTGTAAAAGGACAGTGGATGAAAAGCCCTGTCTAAAGAGACAAATGTTATTAACATTCATCCCAACCCCTGACTCCAGAAACATTAGATTAAGGCAGAGAGTATCGATACTTATTTTACTTCTTATAAAAGGTCCTGCACCTCTGAGCTGACCCACATTTTATTAACACGCTGCAGGTGTAAGTGAAAAATCCCCTGTCCTTTATTCATTCCCACTGTCGTTTTTCAAGAGAATCCCAGCAGGGTTTTTCAATTCAGCATCTGGTTTGATTGCTGGAGCTCTGCTAATTGTTTTCAATGAGATTAGGAGAAGACTTAAGCTGATAGGATGTTCATGGGTATTGCATTATCCAGCTCCACTGAAAGGGAGGCACATTTCTAAAGTCAGACAGGTCTATAGAAGCTTCCTCCTCTACCTTGATTATCATTATTATTATTTGTAGTAAATGGTGGGTAGGTAGTCATCAGAAAGCAGTGCTCGTTCTTCTTGGGTGTTAATCCCTCCTGAGACTCCCCTTACAGAGCTCCTGTCTCGGGTAAAGCCTGATGTGACCAACTGGAGAGAAAGGTCTCTCCTCCACGGCCCCTGCCAAACCATAGGGAAGGTGATGAGCTCGTGGTCCTTCTGATTTCTGGGCTCCTTTTTGGGTTTTATGCTCCCAAAGACAAAAATGGAAGAGCACTGGTGATGTATGAGAAATCAATTGGTTAAAGAAAGCACCTTCCCCTTCCGCAGCCCTGAGACCACGGAGAAATAAAATAAATGCCAATAACTGCCAAACACAGCAGGCAAAGGATGGCCTGATAAACCTGAGAAAATCACACTGATTTTTCTGGGTGGGGGGAGGGAAGAGGGTGCAGCTGAAAGGGTGGATGCTTGCTGCCATGGCAAAGGGGAACAGCTGCTCGGGGGGCTGCTGGAGCAGGATGGCTGCACTGGGCTGCCCACCCCAGCCCAGCCTCAGGCCCCCTGCCTGCACCCTGCACCAGCCCTTTGGGGCTTTGCCCCACCAGGGTCCCACTTGCCTGCGATGGGTGAGTTACTAGAGCCCTAAATCAGCTCCTGCCCCCCTCAGGCATCTGCCACCCCCACACAACGGGGGGCACGGCTGCCTGTGACCAGCTGGGCTCGGACTGGGATGTCACCAGCTGGTGGAGGAAAGCAGGAGGATCAGATCCATCACGGGGCTGGGGACATGGTACCAGGGGCTGTCCCCATTGCACACCTTTACCCTGCAGTCCCTGCCTGGCAGGTGCCATTCTGTGCCTTAGTAAATCCACATCTCAGCTCAGGCCAGGGACGTGAGGATGGGCAGAGACTGACAGATGTCACCATCCTCCACTGCCTGCCCTTGCTCCAGCCCCAGCACGTCCTGAGCATCGCAGCTCAACGACTGCAGCTTTGATCGAGCGCCACCAGGGCCTCCTCCTTAGCTAAAGACAGATGAAAGTCAGCTCTGTTTGGCACCGGGCTGAGATTTCAGCAAGGAAAAACCTGGTGAATTTAGAAAGCTGAGCTTGGCGGCTCCCTCCCACCCAGGGGAGTTCAGAGCACCCAGAGAGGGGGCACAGCCCTGATGCTGCACTTTCCAGCCCTGCAAGGAGACTGGGACAGACATACTGGCTGCAAATTCCGCGTCTGGGGGGCATAACTAGAAGCAATAAAGCACAATTAGCAAAAGAAACCCCAGGCTGCAGATGCGAGGGGCCCTGGCCGTGGGCAGCTCCCAGCAGAGGGCATCCACAGCACGCTGCTGCCTGCAGCCCAAACCCATCCCAGCACTGCCTCGGCGCCTCGCTGCACCCCGCTACCTACACACAATGCAGGGAAAATAAAATTCATTTCAAAAATCCCATGAAAAGGAGATTTATGGGCTGTAATATCCAGGCAATTTCCCACGGAGATGAGGCACAGAAGACCGTAGGTGTCTGATGCTGTACTGGGATGCTCTGAGGCTGGACCACAGGCTGTGCAGGATGCAGCCTGTACTGTTTTGTCCCCTGAGCCCTTCAGTCCCACAGGTTAGCCCTACTCAAGGGTAAAAAGAAGAAATCTGGGCAACGTGCATGCCTACAACATTTTGTTTCCAAACACTGCCTTCTTCATCAGTGCCAGTGACCATCTTTCCGTGCAGCTTTGCTTATCTGTTTATTCCAGCCCTTCAATTGCTCAGGTTTTTCTACAATTTTTAAATGCATGGTATACTAGAATTTGGTTTGGTTTGGTTTTTTTAAAACATCTTCAATCAATGTGTAAAAGGTAAGTGTGTAAAACTTTATGTTTCTATTGGCTGAATTTCATGGCAGTTTCAAAAAAGCTATTTTAATCTCAAGTATTAGATGTAAATACTGTGTTGGAGGTTCTATAATGCTATAGCCTTCAGTTGGCTTATACAACCTCCAGTTATAAAATACAGCCCTGCCTTGAACAAAAGCCAAGATCTTGGAAAGGATGAAAGAGTAAAAGGCAGAAATGAGTTTGTCGGGAGATCGATTTTTTTTATGTCATCCACATAAAATTGTCTCAGACCTAACCCCCCTTTTTATGGCAGTCTTTGTCGCAGCATCAGGGTTCCCAGGGGGTGGGAGGTGGGTGGTGTCCCAGGGCTGTGTCCACCAGAACAGCCTGACCCCTTCTCCTCTCCATGCTTCGCTCCAGCCTGGGACTGTGGGCACTGGAGCTCGGGTTCATCCAGCCCAACAATGCTTGGAGGAGGGCTGTGCCCGAGCCATGCCCCCTGCACTGGCTCTGGCAGCTTGCAGGACATCAGAGCAGCTTTTACTGCTTCACCCCAAGGGACATCTCCTCTCTGAAATAGGAAATTTATTTCTCTTACCCATCAAGAAGGGGCTGATCGACATGGGGACAGGCTGAGCTTCCGTAGCGTGGGTCACTTCACCGTGAGAAGCCATCCATGAGCCAAAATTGTTTCTTACTGAAGCTCAATTAAGTTTATCTTTGCTGAAAATAAGGTCTTAGAGGGATGTGCTGGAACATGGACCAAATCCCTGTAAGGCCACAGCTTCAACACATGTCACAGCGAGAGCCAAGCTGAGATTTGTTACTGCAGTGGGAGGTGGACTCGCTCTAGGGGCTATGTCAGGATCGAAGAGAAGTTTGTTATTAATAAGGAGATTTCTGCATAGCATCCCCCTGTGTTTTCAGGATAGCACGAGTGCCTCATGGTACTCACTCTTCTTGGAGGAAAAATCACTGTGGCACATGGTCTTTGAGGGGGAAAACTGAGTCCCAAAAAGCAGAGGACTTGGTGGGACAGAGATCAGCTTGTTTGCCATCTGTGACCCGCAGTCCTGGGAGGGAGGGGTTTCAACCCATCACCCTGAAACTCATCACAAAGCCCTGTTTCCATTTCCACAGGGGAGGAAGAAGTCCTACCTCCAAGACAAGTTCCTTTTGCTCCACTTGGTGAGAGCCTGGGTGAATCTCTTCCTCCTGCTCTCCACAGCAGTGAGGTCGGGCAGTGAGCAGCGAGGGGTCTTCATCAGCTCCAGCGTGGCCTCGTCTAGGGTTGGGGGAAAATTCAGAAATCATGGGAATGGTGGGTTAAGAAATCCCAGGGAGAAGGGAAGGGTGCAGGGAGAAGGGAGGGGAAGTGCTGAGGATGCATCAGCAGAGCAAAAGGCAGTGCCTGGGAGCCCCTGGGGCATGGTCCTGGCCCCAGCATCACCCATGATGCCACGATGAGGTGCTGAGCCCCCTCCGTGCCATGGGGGCACCCACCAATGGCACCAATTCTTGCTGAAAAGGCATTTCCTCAAAGCACCCCCCAGCTGGAGCTGTCAGGAGGTGAGGGGAAATGACACCCCCGGATGGGGGGTTAGGTGCTAGCTCTGCTGTTAGCATCCACAGCCAGGTTTATTGATTTCAACAGAAAATGCAGCAGGTTACCTCCTGTGTGACACTTCACAGATCTCGAAAACTGGTGTGGAAAACCACTTGTGGCCAGCTTTGATTATAAAACATAATTTTTTAATTATTCTGTTTTGTTCTCTCTTGCTTAATTTCCCATTATTCCTCTGGCAAAGCAGAGAGACAGCCACATGTAAATAAATTATCTCTCTGTTCAGCTAGGAGCTCATTTGGAAAATGTTCATATTCCTTCTTATTTATTTCTAAAACCAAATGCAAACTTAAAGCTCCTATTCCCACCTGCTGAAAGGCAGACGAGTTGTCTCTTCACCCCTTTTCTATGCTGGCTTTACCTCTCCACTTTGTTTTCAGATGCAGACCCATGTCCCTGCCCTGGGCACCCCCCAAGCCCCGTTTTGAACACCTCCTCCAAAAATGAAAATAAGAGTGTAGTTGAAAAGTGATCCTTGCTGCCGGGCCTCCTGCAGCTTCTGATAAGGTGGAGGAGAGATAATTGCCTGTGCTCAATTAAGAGCAGGGAGGGAAGGTCCCAGCGACGGGCCAGCGGTTGCTGGAGTGGCAGCTGCTCCAGGGGACCAGTGAAGGGCTGCCGGGGGCACCAGCACGGATGGAGATGTGCCTACTAATTAGTGGCTCCTTGTTAATTCTGTTCCAAGCAGAAGAGGGAGGGGAGCAGCCAGGCACCCTTCTGAGGCTGGGGAGATGCTGGCTGCCTCCTGCCCTCGGGAGGATGTGCAGAGGGACAGCCCCAGCTGTGCCATGCCACACGCCTGGCCTCGGGCTGCTCCCTCCCAGCCAGATGTGGCTGCCACATCAGGCAGAAGCCCCCCCCTGCCCCCACACAAGGCAGAAGCCACCCCCTGCCCTGTCCTGCTGGCCACCCGAGCTGCTGGGGAGGGTGACAGGCTCTCAGCTGCCCGGGGGTGACCACGGCAGGGTTGGGAGTGGCTGTGGCTCAGAGAGAACCAAGGGGACTCCCACCAGCCCTGCAGGCACCTCGTGGCTCTGTGTGTCACAGGCTGGGGTGAACAGCACCAGGGTGATGTGACACTAGCTCTGTCCCCACCCTGTGCCCCAGTAGGGAAGAAACGAGAATACATACAGATACAAATTATAGACAAAATAGACAAAATTTGTTCAACCCAACGTGATGCTGCAATTAAGGACAACCTATCAGCCTTAGTTTCTCTGTTTTGGGTTTGATCCTTTGTTTTTTATTTGTTTTTTCCTTGTTTTTTTTCTATTTTTTTTTTTTTTTTTTTAGTACACCAGGAGTTATTTTAAGCACGACAGGAACCCCAGGGGTGTGTGGGTCTGGTGAAAGAATTGCTTGCCTCAGGTTCTTGAAAGCACAAGGCAACAGAGCACCTGAGCCATGTAATTACTCTTACAGCTGCAAACTGGGCCATATGTTACCCCCACATCAGCTTTTCCTGGAGATGATGCCACTCCACAACCCAGCACCAAGGCCCCTCTCCTCCAGGACCTGCGAGGAGCCACCCCTGTGCATCAGAGAGAGGAGGGGTCATGACCACTGACCTAGGACCCCCGTGGCCTCGAGCCCCCCGAACCTCTGCATGGCAGTGATGGCCTTGGTGAGCTCCTCCTGCGTCTGCAGCTGGCCCGTGACGGGGTCCGGAGGAGGCAGATACCCAAATCTCGTCAGCCAGTCCTGCGAAACAAGCAGATGGGGGGATGAGGAAAGGAGAAGAAGGAAATATAATGCTCAGGGAGGGAAAGA